AATGCAAATTATATCAGGAAAAGCCACAATAATATAACACTACACTCTATAGAATTTAAACTTAAATTGTCAAATTTAAAAAGACTGGAAAGTCCAAATTTTAGCAAATATTGGAGCAACTGGAACTTTTCTGTCTTGCTGGTAGGAATGCAAAATGGTATAGTTCCTTTGGAATACAGTTGGGCAATTATTTATAACTAGAATCCCGGTGCACAAAAATTTGTGCACTGGCAGGGGGTGGTCCCTCAGCCCAACCTGTGCCCTCTCACAGTCTGGGACCCCTGGGGAGATAACCACCTGCTGGCTTAGGCCCGCTCCCCTGGTGGCAGATGGCACGCCCGATCCCGCGGTGTCTGCCCGGTCTCCCCTGGTTGCAGATGGCAGGCCTGGATCCCAAGCTGGGGCGGGCGGTGGCTCAGGATCACGCTGCTGCCCACCCAGCCCACCCCGCCCCACACACGGCAGGCCCGGATCCCGCACTGGGGCAGGTGGAGGTTCGGAATCGTGCTGCCGCCCGCCCTGGGCCGCACACAGCAGGCCAGGATCTCGAGCTGGGGAGGCCAGCGACTAGGAATCATGCTGCCACCAGCCCCAGGCGGGGCGGTGCAGTGGGATTTGCCTGCAGTATGCAAATTAGCTGCCATCTTTGTTGATGGTTAATTTGCATATCACACTGATTAGCCAATGGGAGGCATAGCAAAAGGTACGGTCAATTACCATGTTTGATAGGAAGTTAAGCATTTACTCACCATTAACCCAGCAATCCCAAATGTAAGTTTGAAAAGGATTTTTAGAATATGTTTATAGCAGCTTTATATATAAACAGCCACAAACCGGAAACAACCCAAGTATCCATTAATAGAAGAATGGATAAACAAATTGTGATATATCCATATAATAAAATATTAATTGTCAATAAAAATACTAATTCATGGATGAATCTCAAAAACATGATATACTACCATGGGAATCTATAATTATCTTAATAAAATTTTTAATTAAAAACATGAAGCTAAAGAAGTCAGATGCAAAAGAGTACATGCTGTATGTTATTTCATTTATATGAAGTTTTAGAAAAGACATAGTAATTTTTGTTGAGAAATATCAGAACACTTGTAGCCCCAGGATGGAAGGGAGTTGACTAGGATGTGGCACTCGGAAACTTTCTGGGAAGTTTTTCTACTTCTTGATTGGCATGCTGGTTCTACATTGTTAAAACGCATAAAACTGTACACTTGAAGTTTGTACATTCTATGTGTAAATTCTACTCTAATAAGAAAAGAGAGATGTTTACATCTCTCTCTAATTTGCAAGTTAGATTTTATTTTCATTACCTACATGTAAGACCCAGCTCTTTATGTGGGAAGCCTTATATTAGAAATCTATATATTTGGAAGTCAATTTCTCTTCTTCCCTTCTCTCCTTTGTTTTCCCCCCTTCCTTCTTCCTTCTGAAAGCCATAGGAGTGTAAGAGAAAGTGGGTGACCATTGCAAGCAAAGGTGTAACTGAACACTTGTATCAGAATGTTCTGTCACTTGGACCTTGTGCAGGCCTATAATTTGAATGTGTGACTCTAGAAATGGTTGCTATGGTGATAAACCACTTTACTTAAATAGCATATATTTTACTCAAAATTCAGAGAAATGGTAACCGTTTCTGGTAATCATGCACTGGTATTAGCTTTCAGGGATGTGCCTAGAGCTTACACGTTTCACATCCATTATCATCAGATGAGTTCATCAGGTTAAAGTTATGCCAGTGAATAATGAACTATGTATACTTAGCCCAGTTTTCTTGTTACATATCTCCCCTTGACACATGCTGCCCCCTTTTCAAGATGAGTAATGTGAGCTGGAGAAATCAGGCCCAGGGTGCTGAATTTCTAAAAGATGGAACGGAAGGGAACCTTGTAAGGTTATCTTTTCCCTCATTCTGCCTGGTAGGACTGACTGTTCTTACAGTCCTGAATGGTTAGACTGTCAAGGTGAGGAACAATAGAAATGCCACTTAGGGCAGCCCCCTGTGTAATCCTCCCACTGCAGCGCTCAGAGATGCTGTCCAGCTCGTGCTGAAATCCTCCCCCTTCTTCATTTTATAGATTGTGATTATATAGATCCTCCAGTTCTTTATATGTTTAGACTGAAGGACTCTCTTTTAAAGAATCCTCCACCTGTTAATCATATTAGTAGCCTGTCTGTAAACTTTCTTGGTCTCTCTATTCTGTTCAAGCTGGTTGCAGCGTTTCAGGTATGAATTCTTCACAATTTTACATAAGGATAGAAGGATTATTTTTTCTTCGATTTCGAAGATGCTCTCTGATGACAGCCAGGTTTTCTTGGCCACTGTGCAGTACCTTCAGAGAATGGTCTATACTGATTTTTAGATCCTCTTTCTTGGATTGATAATGTTGGCCAACAGCCTCATAATGATCATTTAGAGTCTTTCTCCCGAAACTAAATATTGAAGTTCCTCTCCCATCTTTCTCCCCTTTGTACAATCTTATGGGAGCACATCGCCTTCTGTTTGCCTTTCATGACCTGCAAGATCTTAGCAACTCCTGTATACAGCCTTGGCAGTTTCACTTGTCATTTCTCTATTACTCACAAAACTTTTAGATCGTATCAGTGGCAGCATAGATCTCTGAGGAATTCCGTCGAGTATGAGAAAAGAAAAAGAGAAACCTAAAATTTAGATATCTATAATCTAAAATCTGTATCCCTGAAAAATTAAGACTTGTTCGTGTTTCTAGAGAAAAGACTGGAAGCTAGAATTCGCCTTGGCTATTTATGTTCCAAGGAGATGAGAGACTTGGCTCCTGGTGAAGGAAGGTTAAGCTCTGCCTGAAGGGCCGTGTGAGGGCCAGCCTGCGTCCATGTTTTGTTGGCATCAGAGAACAGTTTCATTGAGGGGAAATTTAAGAGGGGAAACTCAGTCTTTAGGAAAGCTCTTAGGATCCTGCTTCCTAAACTTAATGCCACTGCAAATTAGCAAAGAGAAATGGCAAAGTATGCACACGTATAATATTTGACAGGATGCACCCATATACACAGAAGCTTGTAAGCATTTACATTTGCATAAAGATAACTAGATTTGCACTGATGTAACCAGGGAGCAAAGGAACACGCATTGTGTATGTTTCTGTGCAGCCAGTTTTAGGCCGACTTAGGAGCTCAATTAAAATATGGTTGACATGTTAGTTTTAACATGCACTAAATACCAGACGGAAAACAAATAAGAAAACAGGCACTCATATGGTGCTGGTTAAAAGCATTAGTTTAATGACTGAAGTACATTAATTAACAAACGGAAGCGTAAAGAATAGGAATATGAATGCATTCAAAAGAAACGGACTGAGTGTCTCTTCCTGTTCTCTATTGGTTGTGGTGGACAGGCTGACAAACATTTCCTCAATGACTTGGATGGTCACTCAAGTGGTGGAAATGTCAAAAGAGAGAGGGTTACACTTAGATTCACCTTTTAATAGGATTTGTATGTCAAGTGAATTAAATTTTTATGAATTGAAATTTCCAGGATAGGTTTCATGTCTTCGGGACCAGGACTGTACTAGACAAAGCTACTTACCTTCAACCAGATACTAGAACATCTGGGTGTTGTCCTCTCAGCCTATTGCCGAGAGCGGGGGAGTTTTCAGTGAGAGGAGGGATACAACCTATAGGACTGAAGGCTAATGCACTTTAAGTATTTCCTATTTCTTTAAAGACTTCACAGAGAAGCAGCCCAGAAATTTTCTTGGAGAAAAAACATCTATGAAGAAAAGGACCTGTTTACATTTCCAAATTTATACAAATTAATTTTCCCATGAACAGGAGTTAGCAGGCAGTGTTGCAGAGTCACACATGAGTAGTGCTCTGAAGAGGCACAGGTTTGAGGGCTCTGCAATAAGCAAACACCAGGTACATTTTCTCTTTCCTAAAATGCAGGCACCAAAGATTGTTAATGACCCGTAGCTTCGCTGCAGCCCTGGGAGGCCATTTACTCATTGGCAAGTGCTCCCAGTGTGTATAGAACATGGTCACGTGAGTCACAGGAGCCTGATCAGAGAAACACCAGGTTTATTTGTTTTGTGTGACGTGTAATCTGTGCTTTGAAAATTGCTAGCCTGATTATTAACTCGTGTGTCCGCTAACTTTCAGTTAACCAGAGAACTAAACTTACGCCCTTCCCTGGATCATTCTGTGTATACGAGAGCCTGTTGTATCGTAGCCCATGTCTCCTCACCATCCTGCTGTGTAGGCCCCCTGAGACATTCTCTGCTCCTTTAGAACTCTGTGCTCTGCTCCATTTAATTAGAAGTGACCACTTTAAAAATGGGTCTAAGGTCAAAATAGACTCTGCTTCCCTCCTGACAAGACTAGAGGCCGTTTTCTCTAAGGTGGGGTGAGGTGACCTAAGAAGGTACAATTGCCTCTTAAAACCGGTTCTACTTGTTTCATGCTTTGAAGCTATGATGTACTTTCCCGGCCACCACCTCATTCATTCTCATAATAAACCCAGGTAGTAAGTGTGAAAATGAGGCATCAAGGCTCCAAGAGGTCTACAGGCGGTGTGACGGGTTGGAGGCCAGTACCTGGAATCAATGCCGAGGATGAGCGGGGCCTAGGCAGCAGTGTTGTACCCAGGTCGGAAAGAGCAGTCATGGTGGGCTTGCCAGGTACCCACACAAATGCCGCAGCTGGCCCAGTACAGCCGTCCAAGCGGACTTCCCTGTGCAAAGGTTCCCAGAAACTTACTTTTGTGTCGTGTGGCAGAGGATCTGAAACTGCACCTTGAGTTTGCGCTACACCAAACACTAAACAATCCGCTTTCTTGAAGGTGCTAACGGAGCTTTCTCTGGCAATTTCACAATGTGTTTAGTTCCTATGTCACGTCTGGTCAGTATTCAGCTTGCAAGTCCGGGACAGTTCTGTAGTTCCTTGCTTCTTTGAATTGATGAATGTTGCTTTGTGTCTGAAAATTAACCCAGGCCTTTTATTTCTAGCCCACCGCTCATAAAAAGAAATTTCCGGTGAAAAGTAAGAAGGAAAATGCGGACAGCTCGGACATGGGCAATTCAAATCCCACCCCTTACAGACCCCCTCCAGCTGGAGTCAAGGGAGAACTAGAGAAATCCTCTGTGCCTTCAAACCAAGGAGCAACAACCAAATACTCTACGAAGCCCATTGCCCTGCCTAGAACCAAAAAGAAACCCTAAGGCTCCCTCCAACGCTGAACAGAACAAAGACAGAGCTGCTCTTTCTAGTGCTAAAATGAGGAGATAGGAGGTGAAAAGGACAGCTCTCTGTGATCGTTTAGCCTTGAGCCCTGCAGTGTGTGTGCACCAGTTTAGAATCCAAGCCAGTTACCTCCAAGCAGGTGGTGGTGAAGGACAGCCACCAGCAGGCTTGAGGGCGGGGCTGGGGCTGAAATCAAAGGCAAGGTGTTTTCCAGGTTTGTTTAGAGGAGCAGATGCCCTCAGAGCAAGGCTGTGGGCATACTTGCTCACTTTCACTTCACATTCTTAGATTTCAGCGCAGTTATCTACAGGGAAAATGAGAACCAAGTGTGGTAACGGAGGTCCCTAACGGTTATGTGCACTTTGCACTGAAGACTTTGTTAGGAAATTACTAATAAACTTACCAAAGGCATCACAGCAGAAGTGCTCCGGCCATTCACGTGTGTTCTTGTGATCGTAGGTCGCTATAGATTGTATAAGACAACTTAATTTAAATGTAGAAAAATAGGAGATTTTGTAACTGCTTGCCATTAACTTGCTGCTAAATTCCCAATGTATTGATTGAATCAATAAAAAAACAGATGTTACCCGTGTACATTAATTTTTATGTTAAGAAGTGAATATCTTAAGGTCCCCTAAACCCCTATGCAAATTATGAGCTTGGCCCGCTGCTGCAAGGGGAGGTACACATCTTTGGGGAAAGTCATGAGGCTGGATACAGGGGGAAATACATCATTATTCTTTGTATCATGGGTTTCTTTTTCCACCTGGGCAGATAATTTTGCCATTTTAGGTCAAACTGAGTGAGTGGGTGCCTCACTTGGCCTTCCAAATAAATTCTAAAGAAACAATTTGCATTGGCTTTTACCTTTATAAAGCAGTAACCTAGTTTCCTTCCATTCCCCCTCCCCAGCAGGATTGTCATTTAGGCCTCCAGAATGACCCATATCTGGCCAGCTGAGCATGTACTAGTTGCATATAAATCCCCTCAGTGGCTAAAGGGAGTAGATGTGCTTCTTGCCATTAATTTAGAAGATGCTGTTGTGCTTCTGAATGAGCCAAAGATAACCCTGACCTCTGTTGCCCTTGGCTGAGTAGTTCTGCCACTATTTTCCTAGTGCCTTGATGTGCTTGCCCTGGGGGCATCTGACAGCTTGAGCTTTATCTAGTCTAAATGGTCTAGACTTAAAACTGGAGTTGTCTTAGCTTCTTCAAGGTCTTTCTCCCTTACCGATGGTTACTTTGAGTCCTGTCAGGAGCCCATAGCCATCTCTTGAGCGTTGAGCCTTCTCTCCAGGTTGAGTGAGCCAGTCTTTGAGGAGCATGGCTGCCTACCTGCCGAGAAGCCGGCCTCCGTAGGTGGTTTCCCTTCCCTTCCAGTGCTCCTGTTGGCAGGGGGGTTGCTGGCTGCTGGCCTCCTTGCAGAAAAGGCACCCGGGACAGCGGCTTTGATTCTGTCCCTCCACTGGGCTTGCAAATGGAACATCCCCTGTTTGCAAAATGCTCTTAACTTTTATAGCATGACACAGTCTTTTGTATCATGGAGCAGGATATTCTGTTGTTAAATTGAGTGCTATCCAAATTTCTATCCACATTTCTCTTTGGTCTTAAATGAGGGATTCCACTCAGTAAGCTTGAGCAGAGGTCCAAACTGAGCATGAAGTGAAAGATGAAGTCATTTTATACCTAATTAGTGTGTCTGTACCCTTTCCCACCCCAGCACCAGGCCAGGCCAGCTGTCCTTCTACCAAAAAGAGGCGTTCGTTTAGCTCTCCCCTGTCTAGGCCTTCATTTTATTTATGTAGACTCCTTGTGATAGAAACTTAGCTCGCTTTTTCTAAAGGGAATTTTTATATTATTTTTATTTATTTACTTGCGTGGAACACACCTGGGCCAGGCCATGTCTGAGCTTTAGTCCCCCGGCTGTTGTACCTCTTTAATATCTGGGGATGTATTGCTTTGCTTTCTTCATCTGCTTTCCTGGCTGTGAAAAAATAGTTCTGTTTCGGATTGGTTTTCAGTGACCGCATGGCAACTCTAAGGCATTGACAGCAATCACTGTGACATCTGTGCCCTCAGCATGGAGGGCTGGGCTTTGCCATGACCCAGAGGGACACTCTCTCTAGGACAGCACAGCACAGCACAGCACGGGTGTTATTTCCAAGGAATGCAAATGCTGATCAACATCTGACTTAAAAATTACAGACAAGTCAAGGCAAGAGGCCCATGATAACGGAGATGCATGCGGGGGAGGCGTTCAGTGACAACAGAAGATGATATCAGAGAAGGGCTTACATCAAAGAAGAAAGGAAAACGGGGAGGGTGGGGTGAAAAGAAAACAGAGTGTGTGCAATTAATGAGAACACTGATTGGATGACAGCACATGGCTTTGCCGAGCCCGGAAGCAGGAGCCAGAGGAGGGGGGCATGGTTCCCGGTGATGGAACTGGCCCCTCCGTGCCCGGCACAGGAGCACACCCGGAGGAAGACGGGCCGGAGAACAGAGACCCAGGGAAACGGGCGCTGAGAAAGGCCGTGGTTTTAAGAGTTGGCCATGGAAGAGCCCTTACATGTTGAAGAGTGTTATGTGGTTTTGAGAGGAGGGAAGGAGAAAAAATATCAAACATGTTGTGCTTGTCACTGAAATGCTTTGTTTAAATAATTAAATAATTTGATTTGTCTCCAAAATATAAGTTCCAGGTTAGACAAATCAAAAGCAGCAAGTCTTGAAAATGAAGCTTTTTAAATCCTGGCCCTACTGTTGGAATGGAGAATAAAGGCTTTGTTCAAACATGCATTCCCAGCTGTAGGCCCGGCTCTGAGATCGGCCAGGAAAGTCGTGTCCTCACGGCTGCATTTGGCTGGAGACTGAGGAGCCGTGGCCTCTGGGAAGTGACCCTGGGCTGGATATTGTCCATCTGCCTCCGCAGAGCCACTCTGCCCTGCTCTGTCCCTGCCGCCCAGAGAGGCTGATCGTAGGACCTCCAGCAACAGGCTCCCTCGGCCGCTGGGTTTGTTGGGATTTGGTCAGTGGGAGACAGCAACAGGGGACCTGAGGGCTGAGAGTCGGGTCCAGTCATTGGTTCCCCCAGCACCTTTGTACTCAGCTGTCGGAACTCACTGCATTTTCCTTCTGTCTCCCAGTTGTGTCCCCTGCCCCTTTAGACCAAGACCAGGGTTATAACCTTGGGGTGCTGTGTCTGTCCCTGTGGGTTTCCCTAACCTCTCAGTACTTTTATAAATAGCCTCTTGGTTAAACTTTCAACCAGCCCATTTGAGTGTACCATCTGTCTCCCCCTGGGACCCGGAGTGATCCAGACCCTTTGCTCATCAGTTCAGCATTGCTCTTGACCTGGGCCACTTTGGTCAGTGGTTGCCAATCTCATCCCAGATACCAGCAAGAGCCTGAATGAGTTCTTCCTGAAATAAACTGATGTGCCAAGTGGTCACTAGGGGCTGAGGGAGGGGGTGTTTGGGGAGATGGTCTTGGGGTTGGTGCCTAGATGGAGCAAGATGAGTCTAACACTGCCCAACTGGGTCTGAAATTGTAGACCCAGGAGGCTTGTATTTAGGTCTTGAATTCCAACCATGGCTTTTGGAGCCTAAAGAAAGCAGCACTTGTAACAGCCAAGAGGGCCCATGGGCCAGGCTGGGAGCCTCCCTGCTGGCTCCTAGCCAGGACTTGGGGGTGTGACAGAGGCTTTCAGGGGACTTGGCACCAGGAAGCAGGGGTGTCTCCAGGGCTGTGCGTTTGTTTCATCTCTACAAGCGCTAAAACCAGCTTACAAAGCATTTAAAGTAAAATTTTCACTCTTCAAAGGTCTCGCCATAGTTCAGTTTTACTCTTCAGGATCCTGTATTTCTCTGAGTGAGCTGCCTTAGAATTGGTTTTGATTTCTGTTCGGTACATTGTTATCACTTAATTCTCATTGGCGAGCCAATTTTCTTTGCCTTTGTTCTTCAAAGGAAGGCCGTATTCAGGGTCTGTCTTGCATTTTTGCAGCTGCCTCCTTCCTCAATTGCTAGTATAATTAACTCAACTCTGCTGCCTCGCTGTCAGGTCTCCACATTTCCCCAACTTATCTGGAGCAGTTCTCAGCAGGAGTGGTGGGGATTCCCACCGCTGCCCCACTGGCCGCGCTTCAAGCAGCAGCACACGCGTGACAGTGGGGCTTTGGGAAGATTAATAGGGCCATTGCAGGGTCACCACTGGCCATCTCAGAGGCTGCCCTCTCAGTTGCCTGGTGCCATCCCAGGCATCTTAGGTGGACCCAGTGAACACAGGGTGGAGACTCCAGAGGACCTCCTCTCTGAAACACTCCATGGTTCCCGGCCTGGTCCCGCGGACAGGGCCACCGGATGCCATGCGGATCCCCCCGCCCCTGGTACAGACTTCTCCCAACTGGATTCTACAGCATCTTCAGATCATACCTGCCCTTGGCATGGATACAGGGTTACATAAACCTTTCTGCCTTTGGGGTCTGAGACACAATCTTTGACCCTCTCATCCTGTCAGGCTCTGCGGACGCGCCTGACACCAAGCTGTTGTTCAGGAAAGACTTGCCTCATCAGCACAGAAAGTTGTCTCCATCGCAGGGGCAACTGCAAGTTCCCAGGAGTCAGCATCTCCAGTGTGACCCTGGGGCAAGGCAGCAGTATTGTCGGGTCCAGGCATTGGTTCACATTGAGTTTTCTAGACATGAAGTCCCCTGTAGGCTGGACTTTGAACTGTATTAGTTGAAGGGATCTCTGTCTTTTAGCTAACGCCCCTCTCAGGGTCATGATGTAATCATTGCAGCAGCATTGACGGAGCACTTCCTATGTGCCAGATTCTAAGCACGTTACATGCATCCTTTCAGTCCTTACAGCAACCTGTGAAATTGGTGCTATCACGTCTACAGAGGAATAAATTCAGGCACAGCGAGGTTAAAGAAACTTGTCCCAGGTCACACCGCTAAGAAGAAGCAGGACCAAAATCAGAACCCAGCCAGCCAGCTTGTGTGTGTCACTTGCTCTGCATGCCTCTCAAGGCTTTCGGAGTTGAGGCCTGAGACGGCTCTCAGGTCTGACCTTGGAGTTCCAGAAGGCCAAGTGGCTCATGGGCACCTCCGTCTCCCAGCAAAACCCTAGAGTGGCCATTCTGGCAAGTCGAGGGCTTGAGGTTTCAGAACAGAGGAGGATTATTTGACGTGTTGTC